ATACGCAGAATATTTTCTAAAATTTATATCGAATTGCAAGAGCGTGCTCTGCAACAAATTCAAAGTTGATTTTTCTCTACTTCTATGAAAATTTACTTAAAGAGAGACATAATTTCTTGAAGGCATTTAATAGAGAGAGACTTTAGAAAATAAAGCTCAAAGACTTAATCTACAGAGTTCTATTTCTTAGTTAATTTCAAAAAAAATTTAACGAGATTCTAATTTAAAGCTTACTTGCTCGAAATATTTGACGTTGAAAATTCAAAATTCATTGCTATACGAAGTACTCAAGCGATGAAATTTCAGAGATAAAATCAATTTTTTATTTTCGTAAAACATGTTTTTAGGATATGAATCTCAAACATCTCACGACGCTTTCTATAGCTATACGTGGCATTTGGATTTATTATTTATTTAGAGGAATAATAATAATAAAAAATATTTGGTATTATTAATGTTATATTATATTACGTTGGTCGTAGTACGTAGTGCAACATACGTATACTTATTATTAAGACATGATTTTATTATTTACGGTTAACGCGAGTAATAATGCTAAAATAAATTTGGAAATTGGGATGGATTTCTTAAAAACAAGAATTATTGTAATTTCATTTTTATACAAGTATCTTCTTAATAAAAAAAATTTCATCTTCTTAAAAAAATATTTATAATTTAAACAAATATTTTCATGAAATAAAGAAATAAATGTACGAAATATAAAGATGAAATATATTCATTTTAAAAAAACAATTTTATTTTTCTGTTCCGGATTATGTCATGTAAAACTAAATAGTTTTCACAAACATTTATGATTTCTCATCATATATAATCATATAACAGTTTCTTTTGGAGAGATTGTAATGCAATTCAATTTTTTCATACACAACAAGTCAAACAATTTCTCCAGATTCATTTGAAAATAATATTTAATAATCGTTTTCTCTATGCGCCTAAAATACTACAGCGAATTCGAAAAATTACTATATTATTCGATTAAAATTATTATGATTTATATTTTTATTATAAATTCTTGTACAACTAAAAAATATGTAAAATAAGTATATATACAATATTTACATAATAATATATAATTATAAAAAAATAAAGGTTTTCAATTTTTCACATTTTCAATTTTCCAATAAGGCATATTTTTTTCATCCGCGATTGTAATATTATTATAAGTCTAAAAAATTAATATTTCAAAAGAAACTGAAGAAATGTCCGCGACATTCGTTCAATAGCGCAAGTAATTTACGCAAATTCCTAAAAATCCTCCCCAAAATCGTCGTAAGCCTAAAATAAGAAAACTTGTGGCGTAGTTTTCTCGAATACTCGAATATTCGAAGAATCCCTTTAGGTCTTTATGAAATGCATATTGATATGACGTAATCGACGATGTAACTTTATTCTGTGCTAATCTCAATACGCGCCTAGCCTTTCTTCTATTCGACGCAGCACGGAACACCTGACTGCCTCGTATCCGGGATCGGCGCGGAATTCGGCGGCGGGCTCGTTGGCGAGTTCGAGGGAGAGCAGCGCGTCTCAAGGTCCAGCGCCGTACCGCGTCCTTATGCTGGGCGCCCCCGCCGTTGGCAAGAGCTCCTTGGTGTCTCAATTTATGACTTCGGAATACCTGCACGCCTACGACACTTCGATCGGTAAGTCGATTAATCAATAAGTTACGGTCAATCTCGATTGCTAATCCTTCCCTATTCGTTCCCCTTCCGGCCAGTCATCGATCGATCGAACACACCGTACGACGATATGTACGCCTCTCGTAAGAATCCCTAAAAGAGAGAAACGCTCGTTACCGAATAGAGTCGGGAAAGAGCCGAAACGAAAACGAGCAAACTCTCCATTCGAGTTTGGAGTGTGATGCAACTGTTTTGTCCGAACGATTAACGGAAAAATCTGTGATATAAAGTGAAATTTATGAAAAAAATGTGATTATTCATCAATGATGATCGACTACGAATATCGGTCTTAATTTCAGGTGTTTCGTTTTTTTCATAAAAAAATTAGTTCGATCGTTCTATTTAATTTATTAATTAATTTATTATTATTCTAGTTAAGTCTAATTATTATTTAATATATGTTTCATTTGTTTATGATGTCACCGCAGAGATTAACTACATACTTGAAAGCCTAGTTATATTTTCATTCATGTTACAGATGACGAATCCGGTGAAAAGACGGTCAGCGTACTCTTGGCTGGTGAGGAATCAGAATTGACTTTCATCGATCACTCGTGTGCCGAAATGACGGTAAGTTTAATAGCGGCTCATATATCCAAGAAATCTGGGTATGCTAACGAAATTAAAACCATCAGACACTTAATAATTAAAAAACAAATTACTATAACGATGGCAGAAACATTTCTTACTCTGGAAAAAACTTACTTCATGAACGTAACATACTCGCTTCATGAACAAAAAATATAAACTTTACAGAGAATGTATAAATGTGACATACAATGTACATATCAATGTATAAAATACATATCAATGTATAAAAATATGTAAATAGCAGTAAAGTCTGTATAAAAATTATTGCGTCACAAGTAAAATCACAGATGATGGCAAAAAAATATAATGTGTAAAGATTGAATGTACACAGCTGAAAATTTCACTGATTCAGTAAATCTATAATTGTAATATGTAGATAGTCAATTTTTTATGTTAAAGTAGCAAAGTTGACAGCTGAACAGCTTAGCGATTTGTTAAACATCAAAACTTCTTAGTTATAGATATGTTGAATTCGCGCAGTAAGTTACAGGTTTGCTGTACCACTCAATTTATTTTTTTCTATGTAAGTGTACAACGATAACGGATTAACTGTCTAAAATGATAGAACGTATGGACGTACTGCAAAGTCAAATTTTTATTGTTGATTATTGGTATATAAGATGAAGATCCTTTGTCTATTTGGAGAGACTGTTTGTTTGGTTTTTAATATTAAGCATCCCAGACATTAAACGTTTAATTTTTTTAAAACAAGGTTCTTCATTTAATATTCTACTGTTATTCCAATTGACATTATGATTATATTGCAACCTATGTTCAGTTATCACAGAGCGAATAAAAGTGTTCCGTATATAATTCCGATGTTCGGACACTCATCAATAATATTTTCATCAAGAGAAGAACAGAACGGCGAAAGGTAAAACAATGAGAGTCGATATGACTGATAATGAATTCACAACAGGTTTCAGACAGTTTTCACAGTCAATTGATCACCGATACGCGCACAATATTGTCGCTAATTTTCCGTGTGTCCCTGAACTAATTATTTTTGCCGCAAGTCATCTCTCGTTTTCGTTGAACGAAGTAACATGGACCGCGCCTTGAACCTCCGACGAAGTGCTCTCACGACGACGGAGACGTAATCGAGTTAACACTGGGAGAAGGGGGGAGGGAGTAGGTTGAAAGGACGGTCCAGGAGAGGGCACGCGGTGTGTGCTTTTGTATCGCGGGAATTAAATTAAAATCCATTTTCTACAGTGAGCGAACTGACGCGTTGGCGGGCGCGACGATACTTGCGTACGCTGTAAATGTGGAACTCTGCCGTAATATAAATGCACGCACGCACGCACGCACGCACGCACGCACGCACGCACGCACGCACGCACGCACGCACGCACGCACGCACGCACGCACGCACGCACGCACGCGCGCGCACACACACACACACACACACACACACACACACACACACACACACACACACAAAATTACGTCAGAAGGGGGTTGATCGACTGCGAGGGAAGAAGAGGAAACGGAGGGAAGAGAGGGTAGAGCTGCTGCCACGCTTCGCCAGACAATTTCAATCGAATTTACCCTTTAATTAAAATGTACGTTCGCATACAACGCTACTGTATATCGCGCGGTCGACCGCTTCGCGCGCGGCCACGGCTGATCTTCGCCATTCGCGTGTACGCCAACGAAACGGTGAATGATTGCATTGCGCTAATGGCGGTCGAACTCTCGAGTTCCGAACTTTCTAAATTCTATGAAATTCCGGCTACCGAAACGCGAAGGCCGTACCCGAAACGATCTGTGACGCGCTATTATTCTTGGTACCAAGAGTCAAGGTTGATCTCTAATCACGTTAGACTGCGAGGCCGCGATTCCTGATTTCCGTTGATAGTCCCGGATAGACTCTAAATTATATTATCGGATTCTATTAAGTTAATGCGTACTTATTACGCAGATAAACTTGTTGTAATGGCAATCTCTCTAACATATAATAGATAAGATAAAAAATTTTACTAATAGGAAATTATATTGTTATTAATATAGAGAAAAATTTCTCCTTGAATTAAAAACGAGTTGTGTTTCATTTATCTTATTTTTTATGATTTCTTAAAAATATGTTTGAAAGCAAGTCTGAAGCAAGGAGATTGTTATACAAAAGAAAGCGATATTTCGAGCAGGTTGTTACGGTGTATTGTGACGTATCCTAGAGGAGTCAATTTTCATCAATGTATCCTTCAATCAATTCGAGATGACTTGACAAAATGTCTCAAGAAATTGATAGTTCTTTGCAAGGAAGGCAATTAGAAATGGAGCAATTTTGAATATTCAAGCCATGAAATGATCAAAAGTGAAATCAGTTTTGTAACTTTAATATATATTTAATTCATAAAACATAATTATTTACGATGAATCAATTAAAAAATTGTGAAAAGAAACGACATTAAAATTTTTCTTAAGGATCAAAACTTAATTTTATGTTGATTAAAGATTTGTAAAGCGAATAAAGTAATGTGTTTTAAAGCAGCTATAACATTTTTATTAAAAATTCAATTTAAAAACTTCACTGTTGTTCATTAGATATGTCACGTAAATAAAGTTACACTAATATATCGATGAAGATAGATTATTGAAAAATGAATAATTGAGGAAATAACATTTTGCATAAACATTATAATCTATCAGCGGTTTGCGGTTATAATATATACATCCATTATTCATAATATTAAACATACATTAACTATTAACCTATATAACTGCTACTAAATGTATATAGTTAGTTACTTCGTGATATTATATAATGCATTGAAGCAATATTACATTGTGTGCAATACGTCATAGTTACTACTGAGCTAGCTAAAATTTTTTTTAATTAAGTTGTTCGACTAATTTTAACTGAATTTTATCTTAACGATGTTTCAACTCGCAATTTAGTTGTCAAAGTGATTAATGGAGTCACAAGAATGATGGCATATCTAATGGAATTTTTATTAAAGAAGAACGATTAAATAATACGTAAGTAAATGGTGAGAATTTGGTGTCTTAAATAATAGTTTTTAAAGATACAATTTATTTTTCATATCGCAACACACTCACAAATTAATGTTTCAAATTTAGAAACGGGAAAGAAATTAAAAAACGAAAGGATCTTTGGCAAAATCAAATTTTATCTAAAGAAACATTCTCTATAAATTTAAAAGAGCAAGGTAGAGAGCGAAAGAAAAAAAAGGGAGAGAGAGAGAGAGAGAGAGAGAGAGAGAGAGAGAGAGAGAGAGAGAGAAGAGGAAGTCTCGTATTTATTTTATATTTACGCGAATTCATTAACAAAGTTTACCAATAAAGTTAAGTAAATGGGGCAACGCTTGACTTTACGTTGTGGTTTTAAAGTCGAAACGCTGCCACATGTTTTATTTAATTTATGTAAACATACAAATAAATATATATATATATAT